AGTCGCGAGGAAAATTGCACAAGTGGTGCCCAAAAGTCATTTCTGCAAGTTTAAAGGTACAGTCGTCAATAATAATATTTAATTTATTGGGTTGGACTGAATACTTGGATCGGGAGAAGCTCAGCAATTGGGCCTGTAACAGCATTCCCCTTTTCACGGCAAAAACTGACAAAAATAGCATTAAAAGCTTTTAAAAGGGATAATTACAGTTGCAGCAGCGGTTCCAAACCTTTTGATTTTAGCAGACTTTACCTTAGCCTTTAATTGTACTACCGAAGGTCCCAAACCTTTCTTTTTTTTTTTTTGTAGTATAAGGACAAATGGATTTCATCAATTTAACCGTTAGTTGACTAGAGAAATTGATTTTGACCAAATTTAAAAAGAACAAAATGGTAATTTTGCTATTTTAACATAAAATAGTTAAAAATAAAAAAGGAAAATAGAAGAATTGTTCATTGTCTCCCTCCCATTCTCATTCCCATTTTGTTTTTTTTTTNTTTTTCAAGATTTTGTTTTTTTTTTTTTTTTTAAATTTGGTCAATCAAGTCAATTAATGGTCAAATTGATGAAATCCATCCATTTTTCCTTGTGCTACAACAAATGAAAGGTTTGGGACTTCAGGTGGTACAAACTAAACATTAAAGTAAAGTCTGCTAAAAATCGAAAGATTTGGAACCGCTGCTGCAATTTTCCCTTTTTAAAATATGAAAAACAAATATATCTGGCTTTTGTCATTTGTGTCCCCCTTTTTTTCAAATAGTCTGCCTCTTTTGGTAGTAAAAGGACAAATACAACCCTTTTGATTAGAATTGTTGTCCTTAAAATAATTAGTGAAGGTATTTTGATATGAAATATGATTAGATCGTTACAAAATGTAAAAAGCTTGTAAAGAGTCAAATCACTTTAAATTAGCAACGACTCTTTGGTGGGCTACAAATTTAAAATTCGGGCATTGATCGAAATACTCTCGATTACTATTGAGATCCTATATTTTCGATTGGTAATTTTTTTTTTCATTTATTTACTCGAGTTGAAATATTCAACCAAAATCAAGGGTCTCATCTTGAAATTAGGAAGGGGTTTAATTGAGATCAAGATTCTCTATTTCTCTCTTGATTGTGATCAAGAATGTGGACAAGAGAAAATAATAAAAATGAAATAATTATGAATAGGAATCTCGATCAATTATTCTAGCGGACGATCTATTCTAGCCAAATTATTTCTTTCCTCGAGGGGTAAACGCGCAAATGGTCTATGAACTTTATCCCATGTACCAAAACATCTCTGAACTTGACTTTGTATAAAAATTATACATGAACTAAAAATTTTTTATGCTATTCATACATGAATTAACTTTCACCAATTAAAATTATTGTAATAACCCACATAGCTAACAAAGTTCCTACGTGACAAACACTTGACAAGTTAATTACGCGAATAGTACATAAATATACATCTTGTATTGAAATTATACATGAGTTTTACTCCACATATTAAACTCATACATGGACTCGGCTTTATATCGTAATTATGCATGAACTCACAAATTTATTCTGTTAATTTTGACCCATAAAAGTTAATCATTGTATGAGAGTGGATACAAATTTGCGAATCCATCTATAATTTTGATACAAAATTGAGTTCATGTATGATTTGATACAAGGCGTTAAGTTCATGTATATTTTGATACAAGGATAAAGTTCATGTACCATTCCCGTAATTAAGTTGACAAGTGTTTTGCCATATCATTGATCCGTAGGTATTTTGTTTCTCACGTGCATTATTTCATTAGTTTTAAGTGATGGAAGTTAATCCATCTATAGATGTGACAAAAATTTGTAAGTTCATGCATAATTTTGATATGAAACTGAGTTCGTGTATAATTTTTGGTGCGTCACATTTAATCTCTCAATTTACATATATTCTCATTCATAATTTTCGTTAGCTTCCTAATGCCTTCTAGCATCCACGTTGCCTTCAATAAAACAACTTAGCATCCCATTACCG